AGATAGATAGATAGATAGATAGATAGATAGATAGATAGATAGATAGATAGATAGATAGATAGATAGATAGATAGATGATACTTACCAAGTCTCTGTCTGCAGCTGGTTCTGATGTCTGCAGTTCAAAGTTCTCTGCAGAGTTCTGTCGGGTCGCCTGGCTGCAGGTCAGGATGGACAGCAGGCCCAGGAGCAGYAGCCCCCGAAGCGTTCTGGAACTGTCCATGGTGCTGGTCCCAGAAGGAGAGGAGGAAGACGAGGAGGATGTCCCAGCAGGAGAAGGCAGGCGGAGCTGAGGCTTGCTGCAGGAGATTCAGAACTTTTCCTCTTTTATACCTTCAGAGCCCCTCCCAGCAGAGGAGAGGCTGCTGCACCACAGACCAGACTTCTCTGTTGGGGCACAAACGGATTCTTATTTTTGTAGAAAAGCTTCAAAGAAATCCTTCATGTTCAGATCGATCTGCACACAAGTGATGTGATTACCAGCTTACCTGGCCTGTCAGATAAAACTAAAGGACTGAATATTTGAAGAGGTTCAGTCGATTGAACAAAACTTTAATTAGATCTTCTGAAATCAATGTTGTTGCATGTACGATGTACCTATGTGCAATGACAATAAACGCCTCCGATTCTCTGATTCTGAATGAAATCCAAACTCCATTTGATCAAAACAGGATATCAAGAAGTCGATGCATAAATCAGATGTGAATMACCAGTGAGAGAAGCTGCAGGCTTGTTAAACTAATAACTCTGCTTCTGATGAAATAATAAGTGTGTAACATGCAGCAGTTCTCCGATTCAGATGAGATGTTCAGGCAGAAAAAGAGACTATAAAGAAATCACATCATATTTTAGACGATTTGTGTTTTACTAATATATAGTTTTGAGCTTTCCTGTTTCTAATAAACGTGTTTTCTGCAGTGTGGAGTTGTTTTTCTGTGTCTGTGTTGTTGCTCAGTCACTCCTCCAGTGACTCAGACATGCATCTGTTAGATGCAATGACAAAAGCTTCTCTTTACACTTATCTACATGCTGAAATAATTTGTGTTAATATTTGTTAGAAAACAAATTGCATGAAAAACAACATGTAAGGAAAGAACACTAATATTTAAAGTCTGTAAATAGCATGTTTAAAGACAAATATCTACAATTTTATCATATATGTCTAGAAAGTACCCCTGTACATTAGTGGTACTACTATAAAATATTTCAAAGTACTTATTTTACTAACAGTGAAATAAAC